TCTTATGCATTTTGATGCCCTCACCAAGCCGAACTGCGTCTTCATCGCAAGAGAGGTGATGGAACTCAGAGACGAGCTCGAGGCGCACGGTGGTGCCGGCTGGTCGCCGCGGCCCGTCGCACACTTGCTGGACGCGCGGCTCCAAATTCACCGCGGCGCCACGACTCGGATCTCCTAACTCGCACCTTTTGATAGTGTAAGCTTTCAAACTTTCGTCTTGTGTTTCCGTAGGAAAAAAACGTTAGCGCAACGATTCTCGGCATAATTCCTCAAAAATTAGCCTCTACTATAGTAAACTGAGGGAGCTAACATACTTGGCAGCTTTTCCGGGTTCTCCTTGAATAGGTTTCAATTGCTGTGAAACAGTTGGAGGAGCCTGTTTGGAGACACCGATCTTCGTTGGTTGAGGCTAAAAAGGATTATCTCAAAGATTTTCAGAGTCACGACAGCCACAAACCAACTAAATACCACTCAACAAGTCACAGTTCTGTAAGAGCTAATACTCTACCATACTCGGCAATCAATACCACTCTATTGAAACAGATACTTAACCCAAGAGGTGTTATTTCAACGTTCAGAAAACATGCGAAATAATTAGGAACAAATAGTTACCGACCCGGACCATATGGAAACTGACGATGCGTTCACGTGGTCTCGGCGAGAATTGGTATACGGTACGTTGAACAGTGTGTTCGTCCATGTCGACGGACAGGTGTTCCATAGCGATACCGTCGACGGCAGTACGCGATTCCCGATATGCTTGATACATCACATGATGATGTTCGTGCTGTAAGCTTAGAGCACACCGTACACACAAACGGAAAACGTCATTCAAACCGTCCAGAAGCGATGGGTGGCAGCGGTGGAATGGCCGGAAGGTTGGATATCATGCAAGAACACACTTCAAACACTCCAATTCATGCTGATAGTGAAGCACGGCAGATGTTGTCTGGGCCCATTCAGTCGAGTACTCGGGAAGTACCCGTACGAATGGCGACACCAGTAACTTACCTTGTTGCTGATCATTGTCGGCATTTCGATCAACGGCTTGTCTACTGGTGGAATCTCTTTGAGCGGTTTGCTGTCGATCTTCACGCTCTCTCCCGGTTTCGCGATGATCGGTTGGAATTTAGTCTGTAAGGTGGTATCAGTCGAGGGGTGCAAGGGATTATATGGTGCTTTAGGAAGGGTACTGTAGAGTTAGGCTGTGCTTTCATGTGATCCTATTAAAGAGAAGTTGCATTAGCAAGCAAGGAATAAGGCTTCTGTAGATAATTAAAGGCAGTGGGCAGGATTGCTGGAGGCGGGCAGTTATTGCCAGCGTCATTGGTGGAAAAAGGGCATTCGGCTATACCCACTTAGCTCTTCCACCAATGACGTTAGCGACAACTGCCTGCCCCCAGCCACTGCGCCCTACTGCCTTCAAAGGATGTTGTGGGGAATGCCTGGATTGCGCCATTCCCATTGACGCGCCCTTCTCTTCATAGTATGAAGAGGAGGGGCACAAATGTGAAAGGAACAACAGCTTCCCATTCCCATCATCCCATTTTGTCGAGGTGGAATGTGTCTTTAAGCTCCTAAGCAAGAGTTCTGCATGGAAATAAAGCAAAGGAATAAGCGTATGGGGCCAAGAAGCCACGGGTAAAACTTACCTTGAGCTCGACTTGTTGCTTGTGCGGAATGATCTCTTCCTTGGGTTGTTCAGGACCTTGTTGTACTGCTTTCAACTTCGCCTTTTCTTCAGCGATTCGCACATGTTCGCCAGTTTCTACCTGAAACCAGGGCCTTCAGGGTGACCTCACAGAAGTCGTTGGCAGCGCCGTACCTCAGAAGCTGGCTTGGGCTTGGCGACTTTCAGTGAGACTTGGTCTCGAGCAGGCACTTCCACTTCTGGCGGTGGCGTAGCCAATTTCTTGAACCTGCAACTTAAGGGGTTGGAACCGCGCCAAATCAATCCTCAGCAACTTTACATGAAGCCAGGGATGAAAGATACCAAGGGAATTTTCACAACAAACCTTCCTTCAACGTTTCCGGGCAGTTTGACTCCACCCTCTAGAGCCCAATCTGGTTGTTCGGGTTGAGGGGCAGGTTTCTCCATTGAAGGTATTGGACGTAGATCGACCTGAAGCAAAATTACTGTTTAACTGTTACTGTAACTCAACGCATCGGTGCTGGAAATGGCTTACAGATTCCATTTCTTCCCGTGGTGGTTGATATCGCTCGACATGGCCGGGCTTGAGCTGAACTGGCTCCAACTCCATACCCTTGAACGGTGGCTTCTGGGCTTCCACCTGAAGAGTAGTACGGTAATATGGCCTGTAATACGGTACCATAACAGCGCAAGTACTGACGTAAGAGAGCTGGCTGTAGAATTGGTCGTCGCGAGGTCGCGTGAACTTGTCCACAAGCTCTTTTGTCTCGAGGGGTTCGAATGGTGGGCGGGTCCTGAAACATGTAGATCAACCGTAGCAGTGAGAAAAGAACCCAAAACTTCCTCCAGAATGTCGAGAGGATCGAAAAACTTTGAACCAATCGGAGGATGTGCCAACTGTGGGCGTGGATGCACTTCCCCATTGGTCAATTATTTTCCCATTGTTTTTTTTCTTCTGCAAAAATACAGGAAGAGCACAATCCAACCTTTCCACTTCCATAAGTTTGAGCGCGTCCGGTTTTGGTGCTGCTTCGAACGCTTCTCCCAGTTTGCCAAGAGTCTCCTGTAAGGGGTGAATGATTCACAAGATCTTTAAAGAGACATTCCGCGATAATCGTATGGGCGGACGCTCACAGGTATTGTGCTTTCTTTATTGGCGCGCCCACCTTCTTCCCTGTCAGGAAGGACGCACTAATAATGAAGGCACAATGGTTACAAGTCCCTCCAACCGCTCATCGTCGAATTTGCCTTCAGGTTATACCGTACCTTCTGCCATTGGATCTGGCGCTGCTGTAGCTCTTCGTGTGTTTTCAACTGAGCCGGTTTGAGCTGTTGCTGACGGAAGTCCTTCTTCTGAAACATATCAATTAGTGCCATATTGAGAGAACTTCAGCAGAAAAAATATGCAAACCTGGAAGATGTCCAGGGTGCATGTGGCCTGCACTTCACCCTCGCTGTTTCTCGCAATCACCAACACCTCGCCAGCGTCGGAAATACGGCAGTTGCTGATCGTCAAATAATGCAGACCGTCGTAGTTCAACTTGTAGCGGTGGCCCTGAACCCAGATTTTCTCGAAGATTTCACTTTTGCAATGTTTATGAAATAGTCCACATTGGTGGTATGGGCGGAAGAGACATACTGTTTCGTAAACCTCATTGGTGCGCCCTCTGTCGAAACAGTGACGAGGAGGGGGGCACCAGTGGGAAAGGCACAATGATATGTCTGAATCCACTCACACAGCCACGTCTAGAGTGAACAAATGGAAGAAAATGGCGCGAACGTACATGAAGAGCTTGGTTTCCGTTGATGTACCATGTGACCTTTGGTTTCGGGTTACCCACAAGAGCACATTCGAATCGAGCAGGCTGATTCTCCACCACCTAAAAGCATGATCTTGGATGCCTGTAGACGTTTGCTGAGAACTCGCTAACGAAGAAGCAGAAAGCAAGTGGTCAAAATCGTAGAAAAAGCGCTAAGTCGATCATTTACAGCGGAAACAGCATCATGGGAGAATTTACCGTGAAAGGTTTACGGTAGCTGGACGCAAGCGCGTACGTGGTGCAACCACACTACCAACAAGATCTCACCTGCGTGTTGCGTGGCTTGATGGTGAACTGTGGTGCTTGCTTCGTTCGGACTTGTGTTTGTCCCTGCTCGGTCCTGAAAACACTTCTACGTATTCTGTCTGCTTCTTTGCACTCTCAGAATTTGTGTGCTATTTCCTCAAATAGTCGCTTACCAGTGGATTTTCTTGTTATCCTTCTTCACATTGTGCACCAACATTCCCTGTGGCATCTGGCTCTCGGTAATTACATGTGAACCGCCTTGGCAGGCCAGTTTCGCGGTCAGCACTGCTTGTCCTGCAAGGTGATCCTTTGTGCTAAGCTGCAGTACCACGATCCTCCCGTGGTGATGTACTATCCTCCCACTTACCGTATTTGTTTGTAGCAACGCAGGTGTACTCGCCAGTATCGTCAGGAAGCGCATAAAGCAGGTCGAGGCAGACAAATCCGAAGTCTATCGTTGATCGGAAGCGATGGCCTGGGAAGTTACATATCGTGAGTGACGATCTCACAAGGATCTTAGTTGGTACTTACCAAGTAGTACAGGTTTCTTGTCCTTGAACCACTCAATCTTCATGTATGGATCATTAATCGGAGCAAGTTGAGTCTCAAATCGGCAGAATTCTCCTTCAGCCACACCAATGTTCTGCAGTGGTGCCTTGAACACTGGTGCTCTGGAAAGTGACGTGATTACTTACAGGATGAGGTCCAGGACTTTCCAATATGGCCTACGGTTACTTATAGTCGACCTAA